CAAAATGAAAATTCAGTATAAGTTATCTATCTTAAAAGATCAGCTGTCACGTGACAAGCAATTTAACTTATACTATGATTTGTGGGTCAGGTTAAAAACAATCGATATATTATTAAAATGTAAAAACTATTCAAACGAAATGTAAAAATTACTTAAAAGTGTAAAATGTTAAACGATACTGTTTTGTTTGCTTATTCATTGTTTGCCTTAAAAAAATAACTGAACGATAAACTGTGTCTTCGTACACTTATGTTTAATTATACTATTAATTACATGTATTTACATAAAATAAAGTGGTCCTAGTACATGACAGGTACGTTTTTATAAAAAATAATTTTTCAATTATTACGTATTCAGCTTACTATGATATTTATATTCAAAGTCGACCAAATAAAAAAATGTAGTTCGAAATTATAAATTAAAAATTCTACTGTACAAATTGTTGAATGACTACTGGATGAATGAAAACTATATATAGTATAAAAATATTAATCATTTGAATTATTTGATCAATAATGCATGTTTTTTAACTCTTTTTTTCACATAACTCTTTTGTCACTCTATAAGACTTCAGCTAAAGCTAATGTTTATTTTGAAACATTGAAATGTACTTTTACATCAGTCCAACTTACTTTTAAAAATGTCATCATGTGCAACTGTTACTTTTTGTAGTGATGTATATAATCATTAAGTTTAAACTTTCGATTGTTAAATCACTCTAATTATTTTTAATTTATTACTGGTACTTTAGCGGTTGGCATTTAATTCTTAATTACATTTACTGTATAATTTGTCAATATATTGAGAATCTCAATAACTCAGCTTATATATTTCTCAAGGTTTTCATTAATCACCAACTATCTCTGGAAAAAGGTTTTTTGTATTTATTACCACAAACGTTATAATATAACCAAGGTTTTCAACACATTTTCTACAGGCGTCAATCCCTGCACTTTTCTCTCCTTCCGTCATTCAAATGATTTGAAATAATTAAAATGACTTCGAAATAGTTTGTCACAATATTTTAAAATTATATTTTCGCAATGATTATAAACTTAAGCTGACTATAAAAACAATAATAAAAAAGAATAAGAGCTCTTTTACGATTGGAAATAGTAGGTTCTACAGTCGTAGACTGTAGGAGAGACCCCTGGTGCCACTAACAGAAAAAGTTATAAAGAATTGGTAGTAATTTTAATAAATTATCTTTTAGACTATTTTTTCCACACAATGCGTCATTAGAAGCAGTGCTTGTTTCCATGCAAAATCATCTCAATTGCGGAACCATACAGTGCAGCCACCTCACGTCCTCACGCTAAGCTTTCGCAACTATCCCCACTGCTGCTCGGTTGGGCCATGGAGTGTAGCGCAGTTCAATGCAGTCCAGCTTAGGCTCTTGTACCTATAGCACGCGCTACGTCATATGAGCTTCACCGCCAAATCAATTTAATTTAACTATGCACTTAATTTTTATATTCAATCAGTAGTTAATTTATCTTCTACTTCTGTGTACTTTTTATTTGGCGCTCACCTAGCTCAAGCTTACCAGATTCCTCAAGCTCGGAAAAGGCTGCCGTTAGTACACGCATCTTAACACTATTTAATGAATCATGAATGTAGAATTTTTGTTATGAGTCTTGTCTACAATCTAAAAGCCATGTTAAGCTAAACAATAACATAAGGTTCATTATTTGTAAATACAATAAATATACATCACGAAACGTTACATTTGACAAATTATTAAACGTATTGATTTTGATTTTTATAAGGTTACATAGATTTTTCCATTTTATGCTGTTAGTTATAATACTTTTTTCTTAAAAAGACCACTTAAAAATAATTATTAATATTTAATTTTAAATCAGCGGGCTGAATTTCATAAAATATAAAAAACGCCTAATTGTCGTTAAATTTTCTAATTCAGAAGTTTCTCAGTAGGTATACATAAGTACTAAGAACAGAGAACAGATTGGCGTACTGCGTAGCACAATCGATAAGGTCCCCGACTACGAATCCAAAGAATGTGTGTTTGATCCTTAGAGTCAGTAAAATTTGGAAATTTTATTTACACATACATTATTAATAATATATTCACATATATTATGTATAACATATTCACATTTATTAAACACATACTCATGTATAATGTAAAATATGTGTGCACGTATGTATATGCTACATATACAATACATATATGGTATTTAATCACATATGTACACCTATACTTCTATATAGCTATATATACGGGTAATACACTTTACAAAAAAAGCTATATATACATGACAGTAGAGTTATAGGTATCATATATACGTATATGTAAATATACAAGTTCCATCACGTGTATATATACATATATATATATACATATATATATATAGAGAGAGAGAACGAGGCCCGAGTGGCGGGGTGAACAGCAACGGAGGAGTGGACCAGACTTTTTGTTGCATATTTCCCCTCACGCGCATGTTTACTGCCCACCATAAGATGTTTCACATTAAAAGGCTATATTACATCAAAATCAGTCGTGTAAATCCTAATACTCGACTAATGACATACATACATTTTTGCCATATTTAATACATTCAACATACATCGATTATGGATAAAAAATACTGAAGACATTATCTCATTACGTTATTATTTCTGTATTGAAAAGCTATTTATGTGCAGAAGCAAAAGTTATGATGTAATTTAATCAACTTCAGCTATATTATTCTCTTACTAATTAATTATATAAGAATATAGCTTATTACATATGTTTTATATTACAAGAGAAGTAGCTCAAGTACTTCACCTTAATAGGAGCGTCATTGTCTCAAGAATCAGAAATTACTGGCACTAAGACATAAGTGTGAGTTCGTTATCTTATTTGGTGTACGTACTGTGCGAACAAAAAGGTGTATATATATATATATATGTCTTAACCAGCGTGTTGATGAACATGGGCTACCATTTAGAAGCGGAACGCTCCCAAAATTGATGAATCGTGCGTACCAAGACGTTCGTATATTATTGTAACTAAAGTTGGTGCTTTCGTGCCACCAGCGTTCTCTCAATGTAGATTTAAATAGTCTTTGGTGGCAATAAACGGCAAAAATAGACAGCTACCAAAAATATGATACTTTTTATGAATAGCACAAAAATCAGAGAATTATTAACAATAATGTTTAAACGTTGGCTATACCGAATTTCGTAACATAATCTTTAATATGTCTTTACATGGTAGTAGATAGCCTTTTAAAATCTTTAAGATATACAAAGCTTCAGAAAGATCTAGAATCATCTAGCAAAGTATTTTCTTTTTTGACGATATTCTTGACTAAAACTTTACTTTTTTTATTGTATTAATCTTATTCGATTAAACTCATATCAGAAGTTTAAAGTATTATTGAGTTTCTGTTGAAAATAACATGACCAAAAATCTAGGCCTTGATCAATTTATAAAAAGCACTTAGCGTTTATCAAAATTCCTATTCAACAACAGGGTCCCAGTTATCTATACTAAAATGTAGATTGATAATTATATTACTGATATGAAGATAATTACAACGTCGGTAATCATATTAAAAGCATATGATGGAAATCATAATGCAGGAGCTTATCTTAAGCTAAAATACTTTAGACGATGGATGAATAGAACAAGAAGCAGTCCAGAAAGAATGCTGCACTGGATATGTATGGGTAGAATTGATCTAGACTGTAGAATGCGACTTCATTTGCTATTCGTCTTATGGCTTAAAGAGTGGTATGCAACTATTTAATTAAAGTTCTAAATTAAGGTTAGAGCTCGTATCATTTCATGAAATATGAGACAAATAGAAGTTACACTGATTGAGAGAATTGGAAGGTCCTATTAAATTATTCTATTAAATTTACTGATTAAAGTTCATATCGAAAAAATCTTCAAGTTCTAGTTTTTTTAAATTTATGTGTTTTTTCACAGAGTTTAACAGTTTGTCAATCAATAAGTAAGCATCTTAAATATACATAAAAAATTTGGAGCATTCACCTTTGAGTTTTTTGAAGTTTTACTAAATATTTTTGGATTTTGATTAGTATAACGGGATTAGTAACTATTAACTTTTTAATTCAAGTGACAAGAAAACTACTTGGTGGCTGGGATAGAACAAACGGCAGGAGAAGTCAAAATTGAGTGAGGAAAAACCTTTTGAAAAGAAGAACTATTATTGTGTAAGCATATAAAAGAAAAAGAAAATTGTACATTATTTTCTTTAAAAAAAATTTTTAATAGTATGTTGTTTGATTTTTTTTTTACAATTTACAATATTTTTTTTGGACTTTTTAACCATTTAACTAAGTTATTTTTTCTTACTATGGGCCCAAAGTGCAACTGCCGCTTTGCGCTCTCGGGTCACACTTTGGGCCCACGGGCAAAAAAGTTTTTTGCGCTCTCCAGGCCTGAAGTATTTTTCTGCCCTAGGGCCCAAAGTGTGCCCACAGGCACAAAATTGTACTTTGCGCCCTCGGTAAGAAAAACATTATACGCGACTCGGGCACCAACATACAACAATCGCGACTTCGGGCGCTCATGTTTGTACTTTGTGCCCTACTGACATAATGTACCATTAACACATTTTTTCAGCTCAAAATGATTATGTTAAAAAAATTCTATTGAGGTCCCCGAATATGGTAAATAACGGACTCCCTAATAAGTATAACCATCAATTTACTCTTTGCATACTCTTTGTCAAACTTAGAAAATGCTTACAACTTTTTCCTATGCTAATCATAAAATGATAATCATGTCTAAACTCAGCAGTAAGTAACAATCTTTGTAGGAAGAGAGGAGTTGCTAAGTATAATAGTTTTCACCAGAGATTAGAAAAAGGTATTCGTAGAAGGTTGAGAAAGGTTGTATTTTTCACTAAAAGACTTGAACAATACAATTAAATGAGCCTTTTAATGTACCAGTTTTTATGTAATTTATTGACAAGTAAATGTGTTTGTATAAGCAAAATTATTAGTTAACGTATACTTACTTCTGATGCATTGTATAATTGGAAAGAAAAACATGAAGATTCTAGGCATCCATATTTAACCAAATGTGGAGCTATTTCTCCTAAGCGATTTCTTATTTCATTCAAATTATTATATGGCAAACGATTTCCAGCGATCTGTAATAAAATACTTAGTTAGTAATAAAACACCTAAGATTTTTTAACATAAAGTTTAAAAAATTTCTATTTTCAATAAAAAAAAAGTTTTTATTTTTTGTGAAATACGTGAGGTTGACTGAAAAAAAGAGATTGTTATTATTATTGTCATACATACGAGATAGCCAATGATAAATAAAGCGTGTTAAGGTTTTACTACACAATACTGTAAAACACATGTACAGGGTTAAAAATATTGTGCATCCCTTAACTTTAAGATAAAAAGTGTCATCTTTCTACCTAATTTTGTCATTAAACAAGTTACACACTCTTATCTTTCTGAACAATTTAACTAATACACTGCATATACGTCTAGAAAGCTTAGGAAAAAAATTATTTTAAGTACCCACCAATAAAAAGAGTAATTCAATACAAAAAAATTTTCACTAGTCATTTGTATTTCTATAAAAGTTATCTGCTCGTATCTCCTATATTTTAAATGAACGGTATCTGTTTAACGATTTTTTGAGTAAAATAACACAATAAAAGATTTAAAGCAACAAAGTAGCGGCAGCAACATTAAATGATGCTGAGAGCTTACTTCTGAAGATGAGTTTAACAAAAGTAATTTTTCATTCTACAGCTGAAATGAAAATGGTGAAGAAGACATTAGCTGAAAGTTCTAACTGATTTAATGTATAGAAGTGTAAGTGAGACTCAAAGCTTCATCTTCTTGCGTCTCGTAACAAGGAGCTTAAGGGCCTGGAGAAGGATAGAGAAAGGAAGAAAATAAACTCCCGTGCAAAAATACGAGGAGCCTTGGAAGGGAAAGAATGTGCAACTTTGCCTTATGAAAGGGATGTTTTAAATAAAAGTCTTTAACGTTATTAGTGTTTGTTATTTCTGCGATGCACCTCTTAACTGATTTTTTTTAACGTAACAGTTTCAGTGTTTTTGTCGATAAACACACATAGTTCAGCACCACGAGAATACGACGGTTAAACATCAAAGTCCAAGGTCCTAATCAAGGACGACATTGCCAATCCCAGTCCACCAACAACGACGAAAAAAGCCCAAAAGCTAACAGAACCAGGGTATTGATTACAAGACATCATATTATCAAGGCAGACAAACGACGCGACCGTTGAAGAGAAATGTTCTGTAGCATATTTTCCTGCTGGTATTAACGTCAACAAGCACCTGAAAACAAGAGTTTATAATATAACGTTTGTCTTCCCCTCTCGAGACAACATATTAGAAGCACAGGCACATATGAAGCATTAATAAGATTAAAGAGAATTTTTGATTTGTTTTTTGTCCACTCCTCCTTACTGAGTTTTTTCATGAACCAAAACAAAAATAGCGCAAGAAAAATGGACTGGAATAAGCATTAGCCTTGAGAAAACTGTTCTGAAGGAACGACACACTTGATAAAATGGTTCGAAAGCTAAGGAAAGAATAAGTAACTCAAAACACGAGAATTTCACCAGTCGGGCGGAAACATGAAACTGCAGAAACTTGAGAAGGAATGGAAGAATATAATGGTGTCTTTCAATAAACAGAATATTATAAATCGAGATGGGCACCAAAAGCAAGTGAATTTTCTACCCATCATCTCTTTACTGCCACAGCTAGGTGAAAGGGATCAAATATGAGGACCTGAGCATAACATCTAGCGGAGTAAACGCAAATAATAGTGACCTGAAGCGTTAGCTCTCGAGACACATTAAGCCAACGCGTACAGTACTATTTCAGGGTGAGTAGAATTCTTCAAGTGGGAGCTTAGTGTGTCACGCGAGCGAAATGGATACTTTTAAGAAAATCTTTACCACAGACATAGCAAACATGCCTCTTTCCAGCAGGAACGAAATAAATGATTATTTACAGTTCTCACAGCTTGTGAGAGCTGCTCTCCTATGTAGGACCACAGCATTCCCAAGAAATGGGCAGCAACGCTACTAGTATATTACGTTAGATACCTTACCGTCTACAGAAAAGATGACACACTTTTTATTTCGTCCTAGAGAATAACCTCTGTCCGTTTAAAATTTGTGCTGTAAACGCGCTATAACGTTAATCGATGATAGTGTAGATGATTAAGGATTTCATAGTCATACATTAAGGTGCATCAACATAAAAAATAAATAAAGAAAACGATTTCCTCTGCATAAACCCCTAATATTTGTTCCTATCTTATTCTTTGTTCAATGACAATAAAAATCAGAATTCTGGGTAACCATAACAACAATGACAGAATCTATTAGAGGTTAAAAACTCCTTCAAAGTTTTGGTACACAGAGTCCTCATTGACATAAATTATATTTATTTGATATGTAAATAAAACATATATTTCAATTATTCTAGAATTTTATAAGTTTATGATTTGGTTATTTCGTTTTTATAAAAAATACTTAATTTATTATCAAATTAAATCGAGTTTATAAAATCCTAAGTATGAATAGTATTCATGCACACATTCTGATAAATTTTAGTACGTACAAAGTGTACATTAAATTGTTTGTTTGACACAGATTTTAATGACATAGAATATAAAATTTCAAAGACAGTTATGGATCTTATCCAATGTCCTCAATTAAGATAAAAAACAATTACTTTACAAAACTTACTATTTTGCATTTGTGTATAATTTTAAATCTTACAATTGCAATTCAAAAAAAACAGGAACCTCTTTAATTTTTTATATAATTGCAATTTTTAAAAGCTTTTTGTACAATTTGGAAAATTTAATTCAAGTTATTTGTCACCATGGAAAATTGTCATCGTGGAACATTTTTGCCATTTTTAAAACATTACATATACTTCCATTATGAATAAAATAAACTAAAGACATTATCTTAACATGTTATTACTAGTGTGTAACAAGGCTTCCTCTATGCAGAAGCAAAAAATTATCAGGTAATTTAACGCATTTCAGCTATACTACTTTCTTGCTAATTAATTATATAAGGTTACATACATACAGCCTATTACATCTGCTTCTATATTATTAGAGACGTAGCGCAAATACTTCACCTACATAGTAGCGTCGTTATCTCAAGAATCAGAAAGTACTAGAATTAAGACGTTAATACGAGTCTGTTATCTTATTTGGTGTCAGTACTGTATGAACAAAAAGGTCTTTACCAGCGTGTTGGTGCACTTGCGCAATCGTTTGAGATCGGAGCATTCCCAAAATTAGTGAAGCGTGCGTACCACGACGTAAGTATGCTATTGTAACTACAGTTGGCGTTTCAATGTCACCAGCGTTCAGTGTAAAAGAAACCAGGGCACTGACAAACAAAAATAGGAAGGATGAACTGAAGGATACGAGAGAGAGTAGACTGGGCAGAGACAGAGAAACGAGACAATATGAGACAGAAAGAAAACAGATTGAAATTGGGGAACGGCTGAAATATTCGCGGCTCAGGCGAAAAGTATGGGTTTATTAAGAATACTAGGGGATGTAGATATTTTTGGAAAGCTCATCTCACGGGCATACTGAAGAACTAGAATGGATAAAAAAGGCAGCATTTGTAGCAGCAGCTCGTTTCACGTATAGAGATCAACCCATTTGGACTAACCCGTAACCACACAAGCAAGGGCAGCAAGAAAATATATTATTAAACTCACAGCTGCATAAAGAGAGAGCTTATACGTGGTGCAGCAAAGATTATACGAGAAGGCCACAACATAACATTTTGGCGTCACTCAGCACATGACAAATGATAACTCATATTTAGACGGTGACCCAATGAATCTGTCACCATTTAAAAGAATGGTGAGGATTATTGCCCAAATAGTGGACCCAGAAAAAGAATTGTTTTTCNAAAAAAAAAAATTTTTTTTAATAAAAACACGAAAATGTATAAAAATGGCTAAGTTTGGCTGATAACGATAAGACGTGTGCAGAGCACATTTTTATTATAAAAGATAATTTTTTGAATTCTAGTTGTACTATCAACAAAAAAAACACGATTTATAACAAGATTTTTACGTGTTTCAATCTCGTAAAATATGTGACTAAACTCGCTGTTTTCAGGGTCTGATGGGTAAGCCTACTTGTAGTTTAAAAAGTGTAAATTCTGGAGGTTAAGACGTAGGAAGAAAGAGGTTCAGTGGGTCAGAAGGTTGAATTATAAAAATTTAACCCAGAATTGTGCTCACCAGCATAAAAAACTGTCAAGTACAAAATGTCAATTAAATTTGTCTCGTTTTCACGCTATTTCTATGGTTTTCGAGGGTCACGAAACTCATTACAAGTCCACCATCTTGGATTTCGAATTTAGAAGCGTAATCAGTGACTAAAATACTTCGGAACAGTACTCTCAAAAGTGGCCATCAAACTTGAGGGAAATTTAAATTGGCTATATGGAGCGAGAGGCAAAACCCCAGATTAATGAACGATATTTTATACACAATAACTTAATAAATCAATCTCAAGCTATTCAACCCAATAACCCGACGCACCCATCAGAAGTTTCACGAGCTTTAATAATAATAATTAATAAAATACATTAAATAATGCAAGCACCAATCACCACGTAACCCAAGATGCTTCCTGCTCACTTTATTTATTAATAAAATAAAACAAATAACGCAAGCGCCAATCACGTCACGACCCGGGGCCCTTACTAATCACCGAAGTAATTAGTAAAATTTTTCGACTAATAACGCAAGCGCCAATTACAACACAACCCAAGGTGATTGCTGGTCACTTTACTAAATAATAGAATACCGTAAATACCAATCACCACACAATTCGGGACACTAACTGATAACTGTAATAATTAAAAAATAACAGTAAACAATAACACAAGCGCCATGAACCGCACAAGCCAGGGCGCTTACTGGTCATTTTCATAATTAATAAAACACAACAATTAATAATGCAAGTGCAAATCACCACAAACCCAGAGTGCCTACTGGTCTCTTAAGTTGTTAATAAAATGCATAAGATACCACAAGCGCTGATCACCACACATCTCAGAGCACTCACTGGTTTAGTAATGAATAAAATTTAT